AGATGTGGAGACTCTAGAAAGAGTGCAGAGAAGATCAACTGGAGGCTAAAACATACGAAGAACGGTTGCAGGAACTGGGCATGTCTAGTTTAATGAAAAGAAGGATGAGGAGAGACATGATAGCAGCCTTTCAATATCTCAGGGGTTGCCACAAAGAAGAGGGAGTCAAACTATTCCCCAAGGCACCTGAGGGTAGAACAAGAAGCAATGGGTGGAAACTAATCAAGGAGAGAAGCAACCTAGAACTAAGAAGAAGTTTCCTGACATTTAGAACAATTAATCAGTGGAACAACTTTCCTCCAGAAGTTGTGAATTCTCCAACACTGGGAGTTTTTAAGAGATTGGAGAACCATTTGTCTGAAATGGTATAGGGTTTCCTGCCTGAGCAGGGGTTTGGACTAGAAGACCTCCAAAGGTCCCGTCCAACTATTCTATTCTATTCTATTCTATTCTATTCTATTCTATTCTATATATCGGGTTGACTTAAAAGAAGTACTCAAAGAATAGGATGATTTGTCCTAGAGTTTTTTCCTCTATCCTTAATTTGGTCTTTTAAAAGTCAGGAAACTTTGCTGAATAGGGTTGCTATGCTTGGAAGGAAATCCACTAAAACAGATCAATTATCAAATGTGAGATTATCAAGATAATTTTCTTGGATTTGTATATTTGCATTTTAACTGCTTCCTGTACTTTGCAGCTAAAAAGCGGGATCTCTATGACAAATATGGAAAAGAAGGGTTAAATGGAGGCAGAGGTATGTAAAGATTTACTACTGCTGTCCCTATTTTTTCATTGTAAATATTTTTGGAACTATTTATGGATTTGATTATTAGAAAGGGTAGAATATGGAAAGAAGAGAGCCATGATATAACTTTAGAGAAGATAAAATAAGAATAGATTTATAACTGCTGTGAAGATGATTGGAAGCTGCTTCTTTACATCTTTTCATTTTTCATTTTTCTTTATTTCTTATTTACTTATCACTTATCTCTACTTTTCTTTTTAATATTTGTATTGTTTTACTCTGTAAAAATTCTTCAATAAAAATTAATTTAAAAAAGTAAATGATTGTGGAGTAGAGCTATTAATGCATTTTAATAGGTTTGTACTGATTTGAGGTAGGACATTGGAGGTCTAAATCTAGATCCTGGCTTAGAACAATCAATGAGGATTCTGATAAATGTGCCTTAGGTTTCATTGATTTCAGTAGTCTACTTCAACTATAAATTAATTCAAATCCTTACTTCTTCCTGAAGTTCCTATCATCTTTCTATTATCTCTAATCTAACAAGGATTTTGAGAAAAGAAAATAAGAGGATCACATGCTATCCTGAACTTGATAAAAAGACAAAAAGAAATACAATACAATACTAATTACAATGATGGTGCGCTTGCTAAATTATATAATTAATGTTTTGATATTCTGAAAAATGGAATATTGAATATTCTCTTTGTAGGTAGATGTCATTTTGACAGTTCATTTGAATATGGTTTTACATTCCGTAATCCAGAGGATGTCTTCAGGGAGTTCTTTGGTGGAAGAGACCCATTCTCTTTTGATTTCTTTGGTGAGCATTTAACTTTTAAATTTTGGGGAGTCTGAATATGTAAAATATTGAAAATTTTACTTTTTTCTTGATGGATTCAGAAACCAGTCATAGCAAGGTATCCAAAATGTCTGTCTCCCTCCGCAGAGTTTATTGCTTTTTATACAGTTTTAACAAGTAGCAAATAGGATATATAGCAACAGCGTCGTTATTGGCGTATTCTCCTTGTCAATTTCTAAGAACATCCCAGCCAGGGTAGTCTCACATATCTAGATGGTTCCTGGTACTGCCTGGTGGTGCTAATTAGGTGAGCTCATAGACATTTGAGGTAAACAGTTACTGAGAGGCGGCAGTTTGCTGCTCACGACCTCTACGTAATTTTTATATGACCTGTATCTCTACATTTTCTTGTAGGAATCCTCATAACTACATTTTTCTAATCCTCTAGTTTTCCATATATGTTGGTGAATACTACTCTTAATATGTTCAAAATCTGATTTGGTTTCTTTAATCTGATACTTTAGAGTGCTGAAGATTTGTGCAATACGCTGAAGTCTATATCTGTATAATCCTTTAAAATATTTCCAAATTTCTTGTGATGATGTCCTTGGAAATGATTAGTTCATAGAATCATAGTGTTGGAAGGAAACTTGCATGTCTTATAGTCCCAAAGTCCAGCCCAGGAATCCTCATGCCATCCTGAATAAATGGTTGTACAATTTTTCTTGAAAACTGCACCCATACATTCTGGATGCAGGCTGTTCCATTGCTTAATAGCTCTCATTTTGTACAGTTGTATAGATATATTTTAAGATTTTGGATACAAATTCTAATGCTTTCCAGCATGGACAAATTTGTTTAACTTTTTGACTATTTGATATGAATAGCAAATCACATTCAATATTCTTCTTTATATGTTGATATGCTTACGTGCATCGATTAACATAGTTATTTGTTTATTTGCTGTCTGGTTGACATGCTTTCTGGTAAGAATATGTTTTACATTTCTTTTGATGTTTTACCATGAAGAACGACCACAATATAAAAGAACCAGAATTGTACAGTTCCTTTTAATCAAGATGCAAAAAGTATTTTTCCTAAACCAAGCAGGCTGGTTTGAATTTCCAAAGCCTTGCAATTCACAGATAAAATCAGTCTTTTTTGATTGAGTTGCCATCATTTTGTTGGACACAGATGTAGCCAGAAAATCAGCTAATCATGGTCTGTGTATTTCATATTCTGGAGATGTCGAAATGCTGCTTGGAGGTTGGAGGATACTTAGTCTTTGTGAATTTTTTTCTTTCTTGGCTAATAGAATTCACTAGATCTGTGTTGGTCCCCTAATCATCNCAACTCTGGTATCTGGCAGGGTGAGAGCTGTGAACTATAAACACAGAAAGCTTTCACTGTGTCCCAGCATAACAGATACAGTGCCCTTGCTGACCTCAAAAGGGACACTAAGGTTACAGGTCAAGGTAGTTATGATGATAACTCCAGCTGGTGATAACTCTGATGATAACGCTGCCGTGCATGCGTGGGGGCCAGGGCGCATGTGGGGAACGCACACACACATGCACAGGGGTGTGCTCACATTGCATTTTTGGGCCTTGTGCAGTGCCCCCAATGTGTGCGCCCTTCCCCCCCACCCTCGGTCAACCATTTTTGGCTTCCAGGTTGGGGCAGGAGGCCTTCCAGGCCTAAAATGGGGCATGCAAGGCCCCCCCACTCCCCGTTTTGGGCCTGGAAAGCCGCCTGCACCAACCTGGAAGCCAAAAATGGTTGACCGGGGGGGGGGGGCAGGGCGCACACATTGCATTATGGGTGTGCATGCATGTTGTGTGCATATGCATGCATTTTTGGCACACAACAAAAAAAAGGTTAGCCATCACTGGTTTAGGTGGTACCTCACTCAATAGTAGTAACTGTGAGAGAGATCTGCCAAAAAAGCCAACACAGTTCTAGGCTGCATAGAATCAATATCATGTGAAGTGTTAATACCACTTTTTATATAATCACTTTTATATTAGTTATTAATAGTTTTCTGACTTTTGCTCTTCAAACCAATCTTTCTAAAGCCAGAATAGGTTAACACTTGCAATTAAAGGAAAGGAAGAATCTGATTATAATATGTGGGAGTTATCAATGGTTAGAGAATAAATATGAAACTAATGTATTATAAAGTTAAGACGAGAAATGTTCCAACAATAGATATGTTAAGTTTTAAGTATCAGTATTAAAATAAGAATAGATATAAATAATGAATATGGTGGTAAGCTTTAACTGTTATGACACAAAATTTTTGTACCCAGACGGACACACTGTTTAATGAATGATGAAATGTTTGTATTAAAAGAAAATTTATTTATTTTTTAAAAAATGCCACTTTTTAGTGCCTTGACAGGATCAAGTCAAGTTGAAGGATCTTGACAGACTTGAACATTGGGTGCTAGCTAACAAAATGAAATTCAATGGTGAAAAAAGTAAGGTTCTACATTTAGGCAAGAAAAACGAAATGCACAGGTACAGTACAGGTGGTTAACTTGCTCAATAGTAGTAACTGTGAAAGGGATCTTGGAGTCCTAGTGGACAACCATTTAAATGTGAGCCAGCAGTGTGCA